CAGTTTCGTTATCTGCTTCATCAGCTGCTACTCAGCATTATACCGGCATGTAACGCAGGCCACGAACGTGAACCGATGGAGAGGGACCGGATAATAACGCTGGACGGGAACGTCCGTGGAAATGTAATTCAACTGTAATAATAGTATCACGAAAGTATAATACACCGCGGTACAGAAGTGTTAGGAGACACGTTACGTTTGTGTAGATAGTATTGTACGATTTGAATTACGTTTCCTCGCTGAAGTTGGCGTTATACAGGGTGGGCTATGTGAAACAGGCTAAACAGCTAATTATATTCTCTAGCTGTGGTTAGATGTGAGAAGATTTTTGTATGCATTATAGTTTAAACGGTTTCGAAGTGTGAATAAGATGGAAGGTTTTAAGGCACAGTTGGAAAAATTGTATACATTCGTGAAAGAAATATGTGACCTTGAAAAGAAAGAAAAGAATGGCATGTGTAAAAAAGTTTCAGTAGAATTCAGTAGATTTTGGTAAATTTTTGCAGATTTCAATAAATTTCAGTAGAATTTAGTTTTCTTTTAGTAGAATTTCAGTAGATTTTAGTGAAATTTAGTAGATTTCGGTGGATTTCAATAAGTTTCAGTAGATTTTAGTAAAATTTAGTAGATTTCAGTAGATTTTAGTAGAATTCAGTGGAATTCGGTAGATTTTAGTATATTTCCGTAATTTTCAAAAAGTTTCAACAGATATTAGTAGAATACAGAAAATTTTAATAGAATTCAGCCGATTTCAGTATATCTTAGTAGATTTTAAAAAATTTCGATAAATTCCAGTAAATTTCAATAGATTCCAGTAGAATTCAGATTCCAATAGATTACAGAAGGAATTCGCTAGATTTAAGCAGAGATCGCTATATTTCACCACGATTCGCTAGATTTCCGTATGCTTCGCGTACTAATCAAATCGATAGGCATTATACCGCAATAAATTTGCCGTTGGACATCCCCGCGATAACAGAATCCACCGAAATTTTATGCTTCGTATCGTAAATGATTTCCCAATAATATCCTGGAAATCTGAACATTCGATGTTTATCGTTGGAACGGGTAAATAGACCGATATACATATATCTACATACATCTATACCGGAGCTTATAAATGTACCGTGAACGTATCGTAATTCATTTCAATCCTACGTTAAATTTAACGTAAATAACTTTTATCTTTATTCGCGATCCGATTGAAGAATTTCGAATAATCAAGGGGCAAGGATAATCTCGCGTTTAACCGTAAAATAGATTCCAACGAAAGAAAGAAACTGATTTTTACACCAACTTGTATCATAACTGGCCGTGCAACGTGAATACTTAATTAACGTTTATAATGCGAAAGAGCGGTGTCCTACTCTTATCGTGTCCCACTTTTTCCTTCTTTTGTTTCTTTCTTTTAAACTAAATCAGCAACGTGCCATTACTGAGTCATGAGCGCACATAAAATTTCGCGATTGTCCGAACGTTGAATATGTAAGTGTGGATGAAGGAACAGGTATTTCTTTTTTCAGCCTCTAATTACACCGCAACAGCCTGTTTCATTCGTCGAATAAATAAAACTGAAAGAAAGAAAAAAGAAAATTCTAACAAGCATCGAAAAACTTACCGAATCCTTCGGTTTCGCTTTCAGTTCAACGACAGTCCTCTGGAGCTCGCAGTTCTGTCGACGTAGCTGCGAGATCTGTGGAGAGAAACAAACGAAAAGAAGAAAGAAACATAGAAAATCTTTAATAGAACTGTAACGCTGGCGAGAAATGAATTGCTACACATAATTGTTTCATTAATTCATCGCCTGGTAATACCGAGTCACGCTCGCGGAATAGATTGCGATCGAAATGCGATAAACACGAGACATCTTAACTTATGTCTCGATTACATCCTATTCGATGTTTTAAAAATGAATGTTCAACGTAACCAGCTACAAAGGCTAGAAGCAATTAAAATTTCCATCCACCATGAAACTGGTATAATTGAACGTGCAATCGTTAACGCGTACTGAAAACTAACGTAAATAATCTCCGCAAGAGAGATGTGTACAATTTGAAACAAAAATTTCAAACGTTCGAAAAAGTTTAGACGTTTACGATATTGTCACGGGAGAACGCTCGCTCGCGTTCCTGGAACTCGACGATTTTGTTGGAACAGCAACGAAAAATCGGTATCTCCTAAGGTGAAGGGGAGTGACGAAAAAAAAAAGGAACGAAAAAAGAAGAAAAAAAAGAGAGAAAAAAAAAACGTTACGTTGACATGGGGAACGCGGTAATCACGTTACGGACTTAAATATTGGTAACCATAATCAGAAGGAAGTCCGGTGGTACGCCGTGGGCACACCGACCGCACGATGCGCGTTTCTGTTTACCCTCCTTATCTCAGGTTTGCGCTGCGATAACCGCCCTTCTCCTTCTCCAAACGTTATATTCCACCTATACGGCTCACCATCGTACCACGGACGCTGGGAGCGAAGAAAGTGAAACGATTCGAAACATTCTAAATCCACCACCGATAATACGCGGTAACATGTCGGTAAAGAAATATATATTTCCAAAAAATTTTTTTCTAGAACCGTTTCTTCGAGCGAGACTTTCAAGACAGACGAAGAAAAAAAAATAGTTACCGGGTACATATATGTATTTTCGAAGGGGATAGAATACTTTTTTTCTCTACGCTTCTACGAGCGATTTGTTTATTTATATCGAGTGACTGTACCGCAGAAAAGAGAACGTAAAAGTGAACGTAAGAGTTAATCGTATTTTATTTGGTAACATTTTATAAATGGACACAATGTACAATTTGATCGGATCTTAATAACTAAATTCGTGCGATTCCGTGTTTGCCGATTTGGGAATTATTGAAATTTGTATAAAATTATTGTGACTCGAGCAACGTGATAAATTCGAATTTGTCGATGCTGTTAATTATTGAAATTATTCAACGTTAAATGTACTCCGCGAGGCTTGTAATGCTGGTATTAACGTGGATCATGTTTAAGCGTAGAGCTTTTAATAACAGTGTTATTTAAACAACATCTCGATACGAGCGAAAAAGTCAATAGAAAATTTTGCGATCGACGTTTCAACGTTACTACTATTGCGCCCGATTAAAGACGCTCGTCGCTTGGTATTATGTGGTTTATATTCCCATGAACACGTTAGGGGATATCGAACGTTAATATTGGAAAATGATATTACGATTCCAGCAGGTTGATAACGCGATTAACAGATGCTTCAGCGTTTGGACAATTTTATTCGACGGTTACCAGCTTCGTTTCTAACTGAGAATAAAACACTTCCTACCCTATCTTTATACTTACTTACGTACTTAACCTCGACAACAATAATAATTTATCTTTCGTAACGCCAGCTAAAAATTTTTCATCGTATCAAATAAACACAACAAAATATATACACTACAGAGATTAATATATATATCACAGTTGTTGTTAAATCCTTTCATTAACAAATGGTAAATATTTCATTATGTTTACATCGAAAATTCATCTCACTTTCCCAGAAATTCTCTTTGTACACACAGAAACATAACCACACTCTTTGCTAGTCAAATCCATTACCATTTCGTTCTGCCACCGCATGATTAATTACTCAATTCATTTGGTCCTATTAATTCAACCCTCTCTAGAACTCTTTCGATATACATATATATGTATATATACTACATAATATCTTGATCAATTTACGAATGGTCGTATTTCGTGGTAAATACACAATATGTACCGGCTGCCGATGAGTAGAGTCTGCTTCGAAAGGGGAAGAGGAGAGGGGGAGAAACAAGGGGGGTGTAGAAGTCAATCGGCACGTTAACACTGTAACATTATATGCATTTGTACGACAGGCATGGGGGCGAGCGAGCACACAAGCATTGTTAATGCACGCCAAAAGGCTTTGATATCGCTATCTATCGGTTCCTAGAACAACAAAGGGTAGGTACGGTCCTGAGGTTTACTACAAAAGCACGAACAAACGTAGCGCACGCTTTCGGTCTCTTATGCTTCCACAAATTGTCCGCGATAACAAACCGGAACGACGTGACCGTGCAG